GAAGGGGGTGGGCCCCCCCCAGCCGCTGGTGCGTTTGCATTGGCCTGAGTGAGTGATTAAGCCTCATAAAATATATGAATGATGTATCCTTGGAAAGCTATAAAATTTTATGGAGTAAAAAATCCATATGGAAGGCCCTGGGTCTGTTCCCTAGCCAGTCGCGGAGAATGAGAATTAAACCCGCGGCCAGGATCTGCTTTTGATAACAGCCCCCATCTGGTCCACAGAAGCCAACATAATTGTTTAAGCAGCAACGCCAACGAGAAACATCGCTCTGTGGCCGTTTACTGTCTTTTTTTGGGGGGGGGGGGGCCCCGTTTCCTTTTTGCCTCCACAGGCGGGCCGATTTGCAGGGTATAAATTTAGAGGGATAAGAAAGCTTGGAAGGCAGAAGTGGAATTGGGGGGGACCCACTGCTCAATAGAAAGCGGGATATTGTAAAAGCTTGCTTGGAAAATCAGTCCATGCGTTTCCGTTGCTGGGTTGCTTTCTTGTGCTTGGCTGACAGGTTTAGGGTGGTCCCTCACCCCACAAGGGCCCCACAAAGAGGCCCCTCATGTTGAAGGGCTCATTCATCTCCTATTAGGTACCAACCGCAGAAGACATCCAGAATGGCTATTTTATTCCTGGAAGATGTGAACGATGAAGCCAGTTCCTGTAGGGGGAAGAGGGAATGGCCTTGAAGGACAGGAGGAAGAGCAGCTACCGAGGCAATGGCCAGATAAAAGGAGTGCACAGGATCTACCCCCAGTCATACAGACACCTCTCCTCCACATTCTAGCTAACTTACCTAAATTCCTGCCCTTATATAGCTAAAAGCATCTGGTTTTCACACATGAAAGATACCATTCAAATGGAGAAACCTCAAATTTGGTAGAAGCTTGGTTCCCAGACGTTGTGGGGTTAGGTGACACTTGGTTGAGGTCCCTTTCTTGATAGAATGTACCAAATGTTGCACGTTTGTGTTTTGTTCTGCTTTTAGAAGGACAGAATAGCTCAAAATGTTTAATTTAAGAAGAGAGAGAAAACAGAATGCTAGAGAAAGAGAACTGAATTCATCCATCAAGGGGGGAGTTTAGCTCTTTCGAATCTGGGTTTGAATCTTCAGCTACATTTGGGTCACTAGATGTAGGTGCTACACACACACACACACACACACACTTTCTTTTTTATCCCCTAAAGAGCTTTTTCCCTTGTCCCACTGAAATGGCAGATTTCGGTCCTCTCCAAACTGCAGATAGCTGCACATATTGAATTTGACTGGTGGAGATGGGTGAGAAGAACTTTGTGGATTTGTTTCTGGATCAAAGCTCCTTCAAATCTGCACATTCCCTAAGCAGAGCTGAAGGAACTGTGGATGTTAACAATCGAGGCATGAAGGAGATGCTTTGAGTGAACCTTGGGTATTTGACCAAGAAGATGGAGCTAAATTAAGTGGTCACCTCTCCTATTTCCCTTCTTTGTCTTCAAGAGTTTTGTGACAAATCCAACATCTGGAGATCCTAGATAAAGGATGAAAGGTTCAGGAGGGGCAAAAAGGAAGTTGGAGACACGTTTCAGACAGGGCAAGGAGATGTTTAGAAAGAGGGCCCACTGGAATAAAACCAGCGTTGGAATGGTTCATCCTGGTTACTGAGTCCAACCCTCAGCTCAGTGGAAGAATTCAAATTTAAGCATGCCTGATTTAGCTTCTGCTTGAAGGCATCCGTGGAAGGATTTTATCCAAAAACCTTCATAAGGATTGTATGCAAAATTATATTTCATAAGGCTTTTAGACACAATCCTGAAGCAAAATCATACAGTTCCACAACCTGCCTTTACAACTGGGCAGAGGATCTGGCTTGGAAAGAGCCTGTGCAAAAAGGATCTGGGTGTCCGAGTAGATCCCACGATGCAGACCATGAGAAGTGAATGTCCCCCCTTTCTCTGCCTTGCTTGGACCCCACAAAGAGTCCTGGGTCCACTTCTGGGCGACAGTGTTCCAAAAAAGGGCAGGGACACATTGGAGTGAATTCAGAGGAGGGCTACCAAGCTGGTGAGGGATGTGGAAACCAAGCCGTAGGAAGGCCAGTTAAAAGATCAGGATCTATTTAGCCTGAAAAGAAGAACAGGTGTCATAGCAAGAGAACCCCCTTCTACATTAGGCTTCAGAGCGAGCAGGAAGTCAGCTGGTGTTGGATCTGGGGGTGCCTGGACAGCAAAGTCAGTTCTGGTGCTTTTGCCCCGGTTTGCAGTTTGCTGAACCTTCAAGATCAGTTTAAAAGGGTGCCACCTCCTAGGTTGACATCCGTCCCTCCGACCGAACTCCGAACCAAACAGGTAACCTTGCCAATCAGCTCCCCGTCGCTTCCTGCATTGTATTCCCCGATTTTTATTCAGTCGCCCTTCCTGTAATCAAGTGCCTGGAAAGTTACCCGTGCATTTGAGCATATCC